TGGCGTCCAAGAGTTTAGTTGTATCTTGTTAATAAATTTATATATTTTTGTTACTTAAATTGACGACTATCGCGTAAATCTCCAGATCAACCTTTTCCGTTGACCTTGTTCCCCACAATTTGCTCATACAGTGGCACCATCTAATAGTAGCTAAAAAGACGAGAGAACGAAGGGAGTTTAATTCAAGACGAGAGGTGATCCCATTCGTACGATAATTATCGTACACGTCACATAATTTGAAGCATTGTACGATCTAAAATCCAACTTGTACGATAATTTACGATTATTCGATATTTAAATATAATTTTCGATATGTCTTGATTTTGTTTTGGTTACTCGATTCGGTTGCAGCGCACTCTAGCCCACTTAGTTATTTATGTATCGAAAAGTTCGAAAAAGCAATTTTTTAATTGGCTACAGTCATATTTCTTAGCCACATAGCCATACAAGCCCAAGCCATACAATAGCCAGATAGCCAGGAAAAAGGACGAGAAAAACGGTGAAAAACGAACCAAAGCCTAAAAAAAAAAGAAAAAAAAAGGTCATCAAGTTTGCTACGATAATGTTATTGAGAACAAGTTTCTGGGATCACTGTCTCTTCCGTTTCGTTACTTTCACTCTCGACTGTGGCGTTGTACAGATAGCACGTGCCTTTATAAGTTTGGTTGTACAAGACACAATAAAGCTGCAACTACGTTTTAGAAGAATATATAATCACTGAGTGTTATATTATTTATAGTGTAGCTATCCTTCCTGATTTTCCACATATTATCACAATCCATCAGTTTCATGCATTTGTTTCATTTACAATCTATTGCACGAACTCGTCTGAAGCAAAGAGTTCAAAGAAATCAATTGTTTTTGCTGATCTACTAATGTTTGCTATATAATTCCTATATTTTCTGGGGTAAATGGATGTATCTTAGGGATGAATTTGTTTGACGTCCACGAATCGCAATAGCCGTTATTGTCTCTCTCATTGTTTTCTATTTCTGAGTCCCTTCTTTTTTTGTTCAGAGTGAAATTATCTGCGTTTTTACTCTCGGAATCATTTTCGGAGTCGGTTAATCCATTCAAAAATAGAATTCTTTTTTAACTCCGTCCTGACATTCTAACTAGGGTGCAAATAAAAATTAAAAAGCAAATTTCACGCAAACCTACAATTAAAATTTTCAGATAAACGTTATTAACCTCAAAATTGATCTTAACTGTATAAACAGACAATAATCTTTTCAACCTATATCTTGTCCGACTTATATCGGTTCAAGAGAGACTTTCTATTATAGTTTTGTGCCTTACAAATACTTCACCATCCAATAGAAAAAAATTGAAGACACTTATTTCGTATGCAGAATATGTTTTTAGATTATTTATTTCGTATACAGAATACGGACACCGATTGTAATCGACATCCGTACGCGCAGCACTTCGCGCGACCGCCGACTATAGTCGGTGTCTGTAGCGAAAGAGTTAATGCACGACTCAGGCGCATCAGTTGTAATCGGTAACGATCCCCAGTGATAGTTTTATTTGGTTTTAATAGTTTATAATAAACCAAACCCAGTTAATCCCACTAAATACAAAGGAGGATCTTGACCCCCAAATATTACGTTTTACCATTTTTAAAACGTGCAAACCACTTCCGACAAGTTTGCTTAATTAAAGCATAGTCACCATAAAAATCCGATGACTTTCCGCAGCCCTTTTATCCATATTAAAATAATGGAATAAAAATCCCCGCAAAACATTTTATTTGACACAAATTTCGATATATTGAAATAATTACAACTTGTTGTCATTAACAATTAAAAATGAAGTTTTTTGTAAAAAACACACCGAATAAGTGCTGAATTACGATAAAATTTATTTCTGAAGGTAAAAACAGAATAGTGTAACATTTACGTCATTTTTCGTAAAACGCTACGAATTAATTCCAACACCTAATCAGAGAAAAAGAATAAGACAACACTGCAGAATACATTAGAAGCAGATAACAAACTCCATTCAAAAGCAAGTAAATTACTGTCACATTTTTATTTTCCTCCTACATAAAATATATTCGATACATTAAGATTTAAATAAGTCTATTGAATTTGATTTTTATATGATTTTATAACAAATATACAAAGACTTGTATTGACCCAGAAATACAAAAAAATTATATTATTAATTTTATTATTTACGTTATAAAGAAATTAACGTTAATTTTTTAATGAAATAAAAACATTTTTAACAGGCTGAACACCCAGCGTGAATTGGTGGAGTTTACCACGGGTCCCAAATTCAAGACTCGTTGTGTACACAGATCAATAAGCTGAAAGATCATACAATTCAATGCATTCTTTAGATTTTTCGTTGTTCGGATCTTTAGTTATAAGTATTTAAAGAATATAAGTTTGTAGTTCAAAGAATAAAGACGAGATATGTTATAAATAATAAGGGTCTCGAAGTGTGGCAGCCTATTGAGTTGAAAAAGTATTTCTCGAAAAGATCTCTTTTAGATCTCTCATTGTATTTGTACCAGATTTTCGTTCAATCCAGCAGTATTTTACATTTGTTTTTTGTGACGTCTTTATTTCGTCATTCCAAAAATGTTTGTTAGACAGCGCAAAAATTTAGATGAAAATGAGAAATCGAAAACAATCCTAACAAATAAAATTTTATACCTGAGTTTCATAAAAAGGATATTTTATATTTACTTAGTTTATGACGAATTATATTTCCCTCGATAAACATCCTACGATTTTGGTGTCTATCTATGACTATCGCATTCAGTATTCCATTTTTATTGCTTGTATTTGGAAAAGTGTAGTTTTTATCGGCTATTCTATCCACTAATCATACCGGTGTCTTTTGTTATATGTGATAATAATTTTAATTCCCCGAGGGTAGAAGTAGAAGGAAGTGTACATTTGGGCTGATTCTCACCGGTGTTAAAACCTATGCATTTTACATTCTCTTAGACAGATTCTGCATGTCTCGCAACTACGATTTTATTATTTAACAAAACTCTATATCCAAGCAAAAGTCCCCCATATCGGATTTTTTATCTCATTTTAAGTAACTTTTTTGTTCCGGAATTCTTACAAATACTTTGCTTCCGTATAACTTTAAATTCTCAACGTTTGGTCTCTTCTTGAAAAATATTTCATATGGCGCGTTTTTCTTTTTTTTTTTTATAACTTATATAATGTATATATTTGAATATTAGAAATTGAAAAATTGAACAAATAACAAGTAAGTAACATAAGTACTGTAAATTTAAACAACAAATTTATTAATTTTTATTTATTATTTTTTCATTACACAAAAGTAGATTATTTATTAATAAAATGTAATATTACAATAAGTATGCTAACGCAACGATCACACCTCTCTCGCAACAAATAAAACGAATTTAAGGGGACGTTCTACTCTGCAATTTTTAAAAAATTAAATTTTTTTTTTTACATTTTTCGAATGTATATATACGTAGAAATATTGTGTTAAAATTTCAAAAAGATCTGATGTCTCTAACTACATTTTTTTGCTGCCTGAACGTTACTATCTCGGACCGCTCTCCTGAGCGTTTGGCGCGCACGGTTCTTATATCGGCTACGGAGACTCCAAGACTTTTAAAATGCTGCTTTATTATCATCCATACGGTGAAGATTTCATTGTTAAAAAGTTGAAGTGTATTTTGCATGTGACAAAACATATTTTTAAGCGCGCWAATAAGGCAAGAAAAGCTCTCATACAAAAGAAGAAAATTTAAAAGAAAAACGCCGAACCGCAAAAAAAAAAATAAGAACTGTAGCAAAAACAGTAGTAAATAGAAAAATGACTGTTGTGAAAAAAGTTCCTGAAGTAAAAACTAAAAATTTACAATCAAATAGATGAAAGAACTCTCAGAGATCTACGGTTTATCAGTCAGAAGAAATTTGAATTCTTCATAGGATATGCGTAACGAGATTTGGGCAGGATACTACCACAAAATTTCGACTGATGCCAAGCCGAAGCATTCTAAGTGTTCCATCGACTGGTGAAAGTACCTCAAATCTAAGGCACATGGCACCTAAACACATGTTTAACGGCAAAAAAGTTGTTGAAATTGCGTGCAAAGTTTCGGCATGTATCTTCAACGAAGATACGATAGATCGATGGCTTGCGTCGGATGCATATTTGCGCCCATAGCAGTAAAAGGGTTAAGTGACAATCCAACCTTAAAGACTGCTAACGGAAAAAGAAAGAAACCAAGTAATATTGTTATAAAATACCTAAATAATAGTCGTTATTATCTAAAAAGTTATTTAGTGAAAAGTAATTCATCTGTTCCTATCTAGCACAGATCTGACAATCCTACCGATAATTACAATAAAAAAGGACACGATTAAAATAACGATCTCGCCACAAATAACATTACTTTCATTTAAATTGACATAATTATTATTCTCAGTTGTGTGTATCTCATTCTTTTTTTCAAAAAGCTAATATTAGATTTGTAGTTAACTACTCCTAAAAAATTCATATACTAATTTTCCAAAATATTAAAATATATTTTATTATAAATATTTAATATATATATATATATATTAAATTTATATATATAAATTTATATATATTTTACTCAATTGTAGGTTTTCTTCAAGAGTGTACCGAGGTCAAAAAGGTAATGGCTTACGATAAAGAATTGCTATGAGGCCGTGTAAAATTTTGAATAATTCAATTAGCTATTGTTATTGTAAAACGAACATACTCATGGTGACGATGTAGATTCCTGTTGGATTGTATGTAAATTGATAATGGTAATTGGGTACATCGTATACGCGCTTGTGGGGGTATGTATATAAATGCAGGGACCGACTGACCAATATTAAACAGACGATATATAAATGGAGTTACTTAGAAAAGTTCAAAAGATATTTTTTTCGAGAAGACGTTTTTAATACTCAATTTGTTATAATCTTTCTGAATATCTCACAAACATACTTAGTTCTTTATAAGAGAAAAAGTTATTAGAAGTTTTTTTTTAATAATGTAAAATAGAAAAAATTATTACATTTTATTATATTCTTTGTGATAAAAGTTGTTGAGATAAATAGGTAAGTTTTTTTATTTTTTAACATTCTATACTATTAACAACTGTGAAATTCACAAAAGATCAAATTTGCTAAATAAGAGTAATTCGTAAAAAAAAGGATAAAAGGACAGACGAACTTAATTCACAAGTTTGATTTATGTTTCGAATAAAATTAAAAAGGTTGGCTAAGAAATTATTGTGAAGTTATATTGAATGAGACATTATAAAGGCCATAAATTATAAGAGTAAAATCAGTCATTGAAAATATTAATTAGCATGTTTTTTTTCAAACGTTAATTTATAAAATTGTTAATTCAATAAAATTACTACTTTATTAAAACAAATATACTTATTTTATTTATATTTATTAAAATTAAATTATTTACAAAAATAAAAAGTGAATTTTCTATTTATCTAAAACCGACCAACTTAGAACCATAATTAGAATTAAAAGTATCTATTACAATCACTTATAAATATTTACTTATCTTTAGGATTTGTCTGTCATAGATAATTATTATAAAGTGAAACTTTTTTTGTACTTTACTTGTATGTAATATTTTTGTTTATTATAAAAGAATCCAAAAAATGGCATCATTAAGCGGCCAAACGTATCAAAAAGAACTCTTATCAATGGAAGAAGAGCCGAATTATTATAATCAACGGGGTGAAATTGCTACATTTTATTCTGGAAAGAAAATTTTTATAACAGGAGGCTTAGGATTTATAGGAAGGCTTATAATGGAAAAACTTTTGAGGTAAAATGTTTCATATATGTTTTTGTTACTGATCAGAATTGTACATTAGTTATAAGCTTTAAATCATAAATTTTTAATAAATTTGGATAGTATATACAATCGAATAGTTCTTGTTAGTAGTTTTATTCTCCTAGAGATAGATTCATATAGTTTGAAATAAATAAGAAAAAATATTTTTCGAGTTTGAAGTCTATTAATGAATTTTAACTTTCGTAACACAGCAATGTAAGCTTACTAGGTAGGAAAAAGAACATAGAGTTTTTGTCATACAAAAAGATGAATTCTTTTTTTTTTTTGCAAATATAATTTGTTTCAAATTATAAAATTAAGCGAATACCTTCTATCCAATAGTACCCGTTTTAAAAATAAACATAATTGTTCCTTATTTCATTTCTTTTTTTATTTCACTTTTTACTTCTATATGTAAACTTATATAATAATATTTTATTTTATAAGAATTAATTTTCCGCTAAGAAGCTATACTATCAATGTCATTGCTGTCGTTTGCAGATGTTGTCCAGAAATAACAACGATTTATTTCCTGGTAAGGGCAAAGAAACAGAAGGATCCGCAAACTCGATTCAAAGAATATTTCAATGATATTGTGAGTAAAGTTACATACTTTGTACTAATTATTATGGGAATAAAAGAAATCACCGATATTACAATTTATATTTAAATCTTTAGATTTTTGATAGATTGAAGAGAGAGCAAAAAGATGTCGAAAAGAAGATTATTCTGATAGAAGGAGACACGAGTCAATTGAATAWAGGATTGYCAGAGAGGGACCRCGAACGCATTAAAGATACCGATATAATTTTTCACGGTGCAGCATCCGTACATTTTATGGACAACATTCGTTTTATAGTTAACACAAATATTAAAAGAACAAGAGATCTTCTCTTGCTTGCACAGAAAATGACAAGCTTAAAAGTACTTTTTTTCTAGTTAAACCATCCGTATATTAATGCGTATGTTTAAGCACAATTCCCCACTAGATCAATTTATTTATATATAGACATTAGTTTAATTTGAAAAACAAACTGTTCTAATTTTACCATAATTTTGTTCTTTAGGGCTTCGTTTATGCCTCAGTGAACTAAGAAAAACAGATTCCAACTTTTGTATAATTGCTAAAAGTATTAACATGTAGGTATCTTCTCGTTAAAAAATGAAGTCAATGTATTTAATAGGAAAAATATTTTAAAGCTATAGGAAAAAATACTTATATTGTAAACAAATAATTAACTTATTCTATCTGATGATCATTATGAAAAGATCGTTTTATTGTCGTTTTTCATAGATTGTCAGAAATAAAATATGTAAATAAAAAGAGAATATAATAAAGAATATAAAAACCAAAGAATCAAAACATAAAAAAACCACTTCAATGTATAATGAGCTATTATCAACCTAGAAATGATAAACAATAAAAACGATAATTATTTTAAATGGTATAAAAATAATATTTGTTATAAAAACAATATAATAAAACATTTACCTTCTATAAAAAGGTTTTGATTCTTCAAGCGTATCCATCGGGTCTTTATATACAAATACTCGTATTCCCCTTACGAAATTATTAGTAAAACACTCCCAATCAATATCAGCAACATTAAAGAAGAAATGACTTTTATCGACTACAGATAGCTTGTCCCATAACTTCAAGACATTATCGTTTGTAAATTCCCATTCTCTAGTGGTAAAGAAATGAATTACATATTTAAACTTTTCTATTTTTTTGTAGATATTAAACAATCTGAAATAAGAAAACAATTAACTTTATAACGTTTCTTTTTATAGGCAAATAATAAATCTAGATATCGTAATACATTACATTGGCTTTCTTCCGCTCAGATATAATAAGAAGTCCGCTATAATTGCTGGTATCCAGTGCAAAAAAATTGTCAAAAAAATATGGAAATAATAATTTGAGTTAAACCATATGGAGCCGTACCAGAACACTTTTTTCGTCGGGACTTCAAATGCGTTAATTTTTACATAATTTTCCATAATATTCCAAGTAACTGGTCTTTGAACGGAGGAAACAGCATTATAATATTGCCGTACAGTATCTTCACAAATTGCCTTTGAAAATGCGTAAGTGTTTGGCCACTTACCCAGTAGTCTGCAAAACAAACGAATATGTTTATCGACTTATTTCTAAAAGAATGCAATAGGTTTCATGTTTTATTACTTTGAGGTAATTAAATCTAATTGATCTTCAGTCAAAATCTCTGTCAATCTAATTATGTCTTCTGTCTTCATAGGTGGCTTATAGAATTTTTCTTCGATTTTATTGTATACACAGTGCGAATAAGCCGTTGAAACATAAACAAAGGCCTAAAGAATAAAATTATTATAAAATTAGAACAATTTGTTTTTCAAATTAAACTAATGTCTATATATAAATAAATTGATCTAGTGGGGAATTGTGCTTAAACATACGCATTAATATGCGGATAGTTTAACTAGAAAAAAAGTACCTTTAAGCTTGTCATCTCCTGTGCAAGCAAGAGAAGATCCCTTGTTCCTCTGACATTTGTGTTAATTATACAACGAATATTGTCCAAAAAACGTACGGATGCTGCACTGTGAAAAATTATATCGGTATCTTTAATGCGTTCGCGGTCGCTCTCTGACAATCCTATATTCAATTGACTCGTGTCTCCTTCTATCAGAATAATCTTCTTTTCCACATCTTTTTGCTCTCTCTTCAATCTATCAAAAACCTAAAGATTTAAATATAAATTGTAATATCGGTGATATCTTTTATTCCCATAATAATTAGTACAAAGTATGTAACTTTACTCACAATATCATTGAAATATTCTTTGAATCGAGTTTGCGGATCCTTCTCTTTCTTTGCCCTTACCAGCAAATAAATCGTTGTTATTTCTGGACAACATCTGCAAACAACAGCAATGACATTGATAGTAAAGTGTCTTAGCGGAAAATTAATTCTTATAAAATAAAAAATTATTGTCTAAGTTTACATATAGAAATAAAGAGAAAAGTAGAAAAAGAGAAAAATAAAGAATAATTATGTTTATTTTTAAAACGGGTACTATTGGATAGAAGGTATTCGCTTAATTTTATAATTTGAAAGAAATTATATTTGTAAAAACATAAAAAAAAGATTTTATCTTTTTGTATGACAAAAACTCTATGCTATCTTTTTTATATAGAAAGCTTACATTGCTGTGGTATAAAAGTTTAAATAATTTATAGACTTTAACACTAAACCTACCATGCGCGGTCAAATGACCCTTTTTGAAATTTCGTTTAGAATTTCTCGTATACAACTTTACTGTATCACCATATAACTTATTGACTTTTCCTATAATATACACACAACCCATTTTTCAATATTCACAACTTTCTTTATTCGAAAATTCTTTTGCCGTAAAAAATGCATACCATATCTAGTCTACCACGAGCGGTCATTTGACCGTTTAAACAATTCATGTTATATACGAATATATTCTTCAGAAAAAGCACCCCTGTAATTGTTTTACGAGTGTACAATGTAATTGTGGATTTGCAGTGTAGATAATTATAGAACAAGAAATGGGGTCTGTCATTTTTCTCAACAACTAAGAGCCTGAATGATTCCACAGAAATCATAAGATTTATTCAGTTTGACAACAAATAATAACGAAGCCAACGCTTACAAAACAATAAGTTTGCTTTGATTTCTGAAGTTTGATACAAGTTTATCGAAAATAGTCAAAACTGTTATAATTAAAGTTATTTTAGATAATAACTAAAATATATTTTAGTTATTATAAAAATGTTGTTAAAAATGACTATATAATTTATTATTTTGGAAAAATAGTATATGAATATTTTTGAGATAGGTGGTTACAAATCTGACATTAGTTTTTTGAAAAAAGAACGGGAAACACAAAGCCGAGAATAATAACTACGTCACTTTAACTGAAAGTAATATTACGAGTTGCGAGATCATTACCTTTATCGTGTCCATTTTTATCGTAATTTTTTTTGGAATGGTTAGATCTGTGCTAGATACAAACAGATGAATTACTTTTCACTAAATAACTTTTTTGATAATAACGACTATTATTTAGGTAATTTACAACAAAATTACTTGGTTCCTTTCTTTTTCCGTTAACAGTCTTTAATGTTCGATTGTCACTTGAAGATAATATTAATCTTTTATTTTAATTGAAGATATTTATTCAAAAATTTATTCATAGAACCTAATATGTCATCTCTAGATCAGAAAAACTAGATGATTAATATAGTGTCGTGAACATATAGTAATTTGCGTGCAACATTGCACGCGATAAAGTGCTTAACAACTCGCTTAAGGGGCCACGTCAACAAAAAAATCGATTTTTTTTTCGATTTTCTGAAAGAATATTATTTCAAAAATATTTCTTCAAATTTTGGTAAAGATCCGCCCATTATTTACGAAACTGTAGTAGTTTAAACTGAGCGCGCCGTATCGCTCCAAGTAAGTGTCCAAAACTTTAAACGTTAATTTCTCCTATTCGCGTTTTTAAAACGGTTGCCCTCGCTACGTCCAGACCATTTATCCGATCCTTACCAAATTTTGTACAGTAATACTAGATACACGTATCTARGGAATGAACAGAAGGATTTTTCGAAAAAATGCCAATTTTTTTTCTTTTCTCAAAAACTCGGCGATTTTTCTGCAAAAATGTCAATTTTTTCGTAAAAAGTCGACTATTTTGAGAAAAATTAAAAAATCAAAATTTCCTGCCGTTCATTCCCTACGCCAACATCTCTACTAAAGGATAACACTCGGTTTTTATGTTTCTTATGAACCAATTTTTGCCAGTGAGGGCAACCGAAAATCAACCTTTTTTTTTGGACTCTTAGAAAAGTGGCCACAGACGACACAATTTACAATATTTTTACACACAAAAAATTGTGAATATAGTTCAGATATATAACTTACATATGCCAAAAATTTGTATTGATATTAATAAAACTGGCTGCAAAAAAATTCACAAAAAAACCGCTTTTGCACTCGCAGGTGACGTGTCCCCTTAAGAAACTATTTCGACGGCCCAACTCGATTGCACATTCGATCTACAAAGAACAAATAAAAATTCGTAAAATTTTTCGCTGAACTATTACAAAGTCATTAAAGTATTTTATAAATATATCGAAAATTGTTTTCCGCTATTGGTACGATTTTTCGTTTTCTCGTTGTCTAACGCAGCTGATTTAGACGTGTGTGGATGACTTAAAAGACCTTAAAGTAGACAAATTATGCAAAAAAAGAAAAGAATTTGACATTCAAGGAGTTTTTTTTTAATTCTTTATTTTGTTAAAAATAAATTTACAAGAATAAATACAATACGAACATTTCACCGTTTTCACAACGACTAAATACTCCACTCTACACAGATGCATCAGTAATCGTTGTAAGCCATGTAATAATTGATTACTTTGTCTGTGGATCAGGAATTACAGCAACCTTCTCGCGGTGAGACTTGATTCGGTATTGATCGAGGTATACGACCCAGTGAACACAATTATTTAATTTACTTACTTTATTACTTTATTACTTAATTACTTAATTTATAGTTTCAAAATACAAAGTTAAAAAAAAAATTCAACCTTTCGTTTTTTGCTGTAAGAATATGATGGAATTATTACGTCATTTTTATATCAGAACATATGACTTAATATTGAGGTCATAAATAAAGTCACTTTTCACTTCAAAAATTTGAAGATGACTTTATAACATACGTATGACATCATATAAAGGTCTCGTGTTCACTGGGGACATCGCTTATCTCGAACATTCAACGACTATCGACTTTTTATCGTCCATCGATATAAGAATCTGAAATAAACAAATCATTGAAATATTAATTACTGTCGAAATCTCGATTTGTAAATAACTACCAATTTTAATAAACGTACTTTTGTACTAGTTGAACATCCACCGGGACGCACAACATAACTCTTGCGATATAACTTAATTTAATTGTAAACTTTGTAACAAAAATAATGCTTAGCGAATGTGACTGTGCAAAATTATAATAGTTTACATGTTTAATTAATATTCTCTTTTTTTCTTCTTCTGACACATCGTTTTTTTCGAAATAATTAAAAAAAAAACACTTCGTTCTTTTATTCAAATAACTTGCAAAAATATGTAAATGTATGTATATATCTACCATACAGAGTTATATTACTAAGAATTATTGTATAATTTGATATCTAATTACTTTAATACTTTATTTTTATTTATAATAATAGTAAAATTTGTTAATATGTAAATTTCTGAATACCCATAATATATTCATTTTTATGTTTTTCTATATAATATGACGAAACAGATGTTACATAACTCTTAAAAAAGTATGCATACAAGACAATTCCAAAGTACCATTGAAAGACGTAAGTGCGAACTTCGAAGATTACCGATGCGCAATGTGCACACTGCGCGGCACGGTGCCCCGTTCAATGGCGCTACTTTAATAAGTTTCATTACAAAATTACATGTATTCGGTCCCACACGTTGCTGGATATATTCGGTTGAATGGCAAAAGCGAGGATTACATCATGCACACATTTTAGTTTGGTTAATCGACAAAATACGTCCTGAAGAAATCCAAAGTATAATTTCTGTGGAAAATTCAGATCCGTCTACTGATCAATTACTGTTTGATATTGTTACAACAAACATAATTCATGGCCCATACGGTAATCTGAATCGTTTATCGTCTTCCATGGCAGAAGAAAAATGTACAAAGAGTTTTCTTAAAAATTTCACAGTTTCTTCATTTGAAAAAATATTTCTTTTTAAATTCAAAAGAACAAACAAAAGAAAAGAAGTAGAAATGAGTATATCGGATATGAAGAAGTAAAATCTTATACTTGAAAATAAATTGTAGATTCTAACGTATATTGTCTAACACATTATGCTTTCATTTTTAAGTGTATGTTAACATTTAATTACACGTTAACGTTTGTACAGTTTCTTTATTTGGAAAAATATTGTTTTTTCAAATTTAAGAAAAAAAAACATTAAAAGAAAAACAATGTAGAGTTTATTGAGTATGTGAAAGTAATCTTACTTGAAAATAAACAGTTTCTATCCTGTACATTATCTAATATATATATATATATATATATATATATATATATAT